GCTGTTGGATTCGACAGCAGCAACGAGTCTCCACTCGAACGGTCGCGCTCGCAGCGAGCTCCAGACCTGAAACGTTACTCTGCACTCAGGCCGGATCGGCTTTTCCAGCACGCACGCACGCCAAGTGGGCACCTCCGGGCTGGCAGCACGAGCACGTCCGCCTTGTTGCAGCAGCATCAAGCTTCTCATTCGCACGTCACCCACGCTCTCGCCCCTCCACGTGCCTCTGCTGAAGCTGAACCGCACAGTGCTACGGTGCAGCGACGCAGTCTGGTAGGTCCTATTAGAGCGAGACCACATGGCCCGCAGCTTTCAAGTCCTTCCAACTACACCTACACATCGCAGGACTCCGACGCACATGAGATCGGCATTGGTGTTGATCCCACTCAACGCATCCAAGAGTCCACATCATCCGACGCGGGCATTGACGCGGATGCAGATGCACGACTGCAGAGCAGTCCCTCTCTTGAACAGGACTACTGGATGCATCCATCTCGCGCCAGGGCAGTCAGTTTAGGCACCAGCACGGAGGAGGCGGCATCAACAGCTGCTGCTGCTGCCGCAGTCAGGGCATCCCGCAACAGCACCCAGTATCGAGTCGCATCCACTCCAGCGCAGCCGCGTATCGTCGAAGTTGACGAGCCGCAGGATCTTGTCACGGAATTTGGCAACCCTCTGAGAGCACTGGCTGACAGAGGCTCTGACGCATCAGACCGCGGACACGAGCCGTTTCCATTGCCCGAGCCTTTAGCTCAAGCCTTGCGGATAGGTCTAGGCAAAGGCGCAGTTTCTCCAGAGCTCGCTCGTCAGCTTCGATCTGAGTACGAGCGGCAGAGTGCGACACTCTCGCCTCTCGATCGCACGAGCCCCGCAGTAGGGGAGACGCGTCGCACAACAGGAGAAACGGATAGGGAGCGTCTGTTGGCCTATTGGAGGATGATCGAGGCACAGGGCACTACCAGTGTGGAGGCTAGTCGGCGGAGCTCCTTGCTCTCCTACCGCAGCCGGCCTCACAGTTGGGCAAGTGAGCGTCCCGCTTCGAGGAGCTCAACAGTGCCAGCAACAATGTCGAGGCCGCCTTCAGCGCACTCGCAACCTGCGCAGGCACATGCTGCAGCCGACGCGCAAACCTCTACCTCCTCTGTATGGCCGTCGGTCAGAATGCCTGGCCCCTCGAACCAGAGTACACCTGGACCTACCGACCCACAATTGTGGACCTCCGAATGGCCCGATGATCGCGGCGAGCCCTCGCGGTCGTCTTCGCCGGCGAATGTGCCCCTGACGGATGAGGAGTTCCGCACTCCAGCGGGCACCTTGCAGCGATTTTCCTGGAGCGACGAGGAGGACGCTTCGCCGACCGCAGACGCCCAGACCGAGTCCGTCAACATCTCTGATCACGTCGACGGCGTCACAAGAAAGAGTTCCATGACAGATATGCAACAAGCGGGGGACCAAACAGGGAGATCCGGGTCTGCTACACCTCGCCCTGGAAAACAAACACCCGCAGCCATTCCGCTCGGAATCTCTTCGAAGCTGGACAGTGTCTGGGCTCAGCACCATCACACCGGCACATTGGAGCGTCAGGCGCCGGAGCAAAGACCGTCATTGAATGATTTCTTGACCGTGTCGTATCACACCCCGGCGGATCAACGCTCTCGCACAAGTCTCTTGTCAGCTGCTGCAGCATCTTCTCAAGCTGAGGATGAGCATTTGGAACCCGGCGTGGACACCTTTTTCTCAGCGCCAAAAGCTGCTGAGGCGCCTATTCCGAGCCCTTCGTCACCTCGTCGACCATCTGCTAGCCCTGGACAGAGTAGTTGGCGGAAACCGATTCCTGCTGCTTCAGAGCGGGAGTGGAAGGAAGAAGGCGCGGATCAAGTCACCGACATGAAGTTGTCACCAACGCATACATGGCGACGGCTCGACACCGACTTTTCGGACAAGCCAGACTCGATGGGAGATACCCGTGGATCTAAGCACAGCAGTCAACTCAGCCGTGGAAGTAACGCTACCGACGCGCTTCTGGCTCACGTCGAACAGATTCGCGCAGGCCCGGCTTTTCGACTTGATCCCACAGCCTCCATTGAGCTTCTCGGTACGCCCTCCGATACCGCTCTTTCCGACGCTCGTCAAGTATCCGACTTGAGCGGATCACCTTCGGGCGCGAAGCGTCCTCGAGCACTGAGTCTCATCGATAAGATTCGAGGTCGTGTCAGACGAGGCTCGGAAAGCACGCGAGGGATCACTTCCTCGCCAAAGTCCCCGACAAAGATCTCTGCCCCCACGACGCCAGTGTCACCGGCATCGCCTTGGTCTTCACGAATACTCTCACCGAAGCGTGAAAGAGGGGCACAAGCTACGGCAGACAATGATGCGGATGGCATCTCAGATGGCATGAGCTCTTTGACTGCAGTGCCTCGCGGAAGAGCATCCGCGACCGCACTGAGAAATGCCCGTCGCCGATCTGGCACAGCGTTGACGATCAACGATGAAAATGATAGTGTGATGTCCTTACAGCGCGCTCTTGCGGACGCCAATGGCCTTCGGCCCACTCGCAGTCGCAGTCCTCTAAAATCGAGTCCGCACTCAAGACCTCGGAGTATCCATAGCGTACGAAGCGCAAGATCGAGGCGGAGCTCAGCACCAAGTCTGCGCGCCTCTTATCGCGCTGGGGAGCTCTTGCCCGAATTCCAAAAATCTACACCTACAAGAGGCTATCCACCGCCGCTCAGTGGAATGGAGGAGACCCGCCTGCAACGAGCTCTTAGAGCTGAAGCGGAATGGGAAGATGTTCAAGAGCAGAATCGCGTCACGGACAAGATGGCTTCGGGCGAGGCTGGGGCAGGGCAGACGGACCAGGCAGCTCCCTCTAAGAAGGCTGGCAGGTGGGCCTGGAGGAAGCGCAATGACTCGGAGTCTGCTCCTGGCGACAGCACAGACATGACGCGAACACGAACGCAGAGCGAAGCTTCAGGGAGCGAGGCTGCAGCAGGCGCACATAGCTCTCGGACTATGCCTCACTCCCCCGCAATGGAGCAAGAGGAAGATCGCTCGCTCGATGCCAATCGAGTGTCAGCTTCACTCGAAATTGTGCGAATCGAACGCAAACCAGACATGGACGGGCAAATCGGTGTGCGCGGTCTGCACGGAGTGTACGGAGCAGACAATTTCTCTTCATTGACTCCTGTACCTCCGCCAGCACCGGTTCCGCCACTTCGGCCTTCGAGACGTACCCGCCGCACAAATTCAACGGATGGGTCCTCTGGTAGCTCGCCAACCTTGCAGACGCTTGGCGGGCTGGAGAGTGAGAACGGCGCGGTTGCTGGCGCCAGCAGTGCTGCCCCAAGCAGCACTCAAGGACCGGCTTTGGCAGCCACGAATGGTGGCTTCGACCCTCGCGGTCTTCACCCTTGGACGCCAGGAGCGTTCCGACGCCCTCGACCTATGCCGCATTCTCCTGTCCACTCGACTGCAGCGGAGGACTTCCCATCAATCCGATCTAATCATCGCCTCGAGCCATCTGACGCCAGCGATCGACGACATGGACACGTACCAGGCCTTGATGGCACCGAAGATGTCACCGAAGATGTCCATGCAGATCTGGCCGCGCAGAAGTCAGCGGGTTCCTTGCAGAAGCATTCGGGTGCTCAGGCGCAGCCGGTGTCCCAACCGGCATCTGTGCCACGCAATGCCGAGCCTCCACTTGCGCCTCACGGCACCTCGCAGCTGTCAGCTAGCGTCACTTCAGCAGGGCCACCAGTACACCA